GTCCCTTGGCTTGGCCAGGCTGCCCAGCCTCGGGCTCTGGGCATGGTACCTAGAGTAAGGCTAGAGCCACAGCCCAGGGTGACCTCACTCCCTTGGGTCACCCCACTCAGTGGGCAGGACCAGGAGCCCCCTCCCATCCTTCCTGGGGTTCCTGAGGGGGCCCCAAGGGGCAGTTGTTCATGAACCACAGGGAGCTGAACACAGGCTTCTCCGAGGCAGCATCATTTACTGTAGTGTGGATGGGCAAGGGGTGCAGGAGCCCCCTCCCATCCTTCCTGGGGTTCCTGAGGGGGCCCCAAGGGGCAGCTGTTCATGAACCACAGGGAGCTGAACACAGGTTTCTCCGAGGCATCATTTACTGTCGTGTGGATGGGCAAGGGGTGCCTGGGCTGGGGCTTGGCAGGGTGTGTGTGAGGGATGCAGTAGGGCTGATCTGGGGGGCTTCAAGGTGGACCTCTCCCCTGCAGCTGAGCCCAGGCAGGGACCATGCTGTTCTGGGCACTTGGTCTTGAGGGGCCAGTCTGTGGGGACAGTGGAGCAGGAGGGACCTGCTTCAGCTGGGTTGGGTCCCTGTGAAGGTGGGATAATCCAGGGTAAGGTGTGAGCTCAAGGTGAGAACGTGGGATGCTTTGGTGGGCTGGAGTAGGGATTCCAGGGGGCTGAGGGTCTGGGGCCTGTCACCAGGGAGCTGGGCAGGGGACACAGGGGTGCAGCATAGGGGTCTCGGGTGCAGCCAAGGGGTCCCAAGAGGGCCAAGCAGGGATCCTAAATGTAGACAAGGGTCTCTGGGGTGCTGGACAGAGGGCTTGGGGCTAGCCAAGGGTCTCTGGTGCAGACCAGGTCTCACAAGCATGCAGAGCAAGGGTCCTGGGTGTGGGCAGGGGTCCTGGGAGCAGAACAGGGGTCCCAAGCATACAGAGCAGAGCTCTCAGGATGGGGCAGGGGTCCTGGCTGTGAATGAAGGGTCCCATGAATGCAGGTGGGAATCCTAGGGGTGCAGAGCAGGGCACAGTCAAGGGGCCAAGGGGAACAGAGCCGGGGTCCTGGCATGCAACCAGGGATGCCAGGGGTGCAGCGTCAGGCCAGTGCAGGAGTCCCAGGTAAGGGTGGGCAGAGCCCTAGTGCTGCCCAGCCCCATAGAGCAGGGGGTGGTAGAGGGGGCAAGGGTAGGAGAACATAAACTTGACGGCAAACTTCATTTCCTTGTTGTGCTTCTGCCAGGGGTAGACGGCGAGGAGGAGCAGGCGGCGGGCACGAGGACCCTGCCACTGAGGCTGTCGAGCTGGGGGCAGGGGCAGGCGCTAGCGTTTCTCATGTGCAGCACCATCTTCTTGGTGTCCTTGCGCTTGAGCGGGCCCAGCTTCAGCACCTTCTTCTTCTGGGCAGCCACCAGCCGCCGCTCCCCATTCTCCTCTGTCATCTCCTTGATGCGCATCTTCACCACTGTGTGGGGCAGCCATGGGGCATGGTTGGGGGAGGGAGAGGGAGACTGCCATGGGGCACTGCTGGGGTGCTGCTTGGGGGTCTGGACTAGGCACCTGTGCAGCACAGGGTGCAGCCTGCCCCTGGGGTGGGACCCAGAAGAAGGGTCTCTGGGGAAGTTACTGTGTGGGAAGGGGAAGGGGCTTTTGGGAT